TATATAAAGATACTGGGCGATGTAGTATAGAGCTAATATGTTTATATTAAGATACTGGGCGATGTAGTATTGAGTTAATATGTTTATATAAAGATACTGGGCGATGAGGTATTGGGTTAAGATATTTATAGAGCCACGGTAGTCTAGTGGTAGGACGCCGGACTCTTGACCTAAGGGTTGCGGGTTCGAGTCACGGCACGGCTCTGTGTTGTATCTTTGAATAAGATACTTTACTTCGCTTGTTCCAGTCTACTCAGCTGTAAATGAGTACGTGGTTGGGCAGTGCTAGAATTGTTGAATGCTAGCTGTGAGCGCCGAAATGGCAGCTCCGGATGTATGCTCCCCAGGGAGTTGAGAAAGATATTGGCTGGTTGCAAAGGCCCTATAACCACGGATAATAATTTGTGAACCGCTTTGAGACGACCTACGAACTAGAACCTCGAATCATCATTATTATTAATTATTTATATAAAGATGTAGGGCGATGAGGTATTGAGTAAATATGTTTATATAAAGATGTAGGGCGATGAGGTATTGAGTAAACATGTTTATATAAAGATGTAGGGCGATGAGGTATTGAGTAAACATGTTTATATAAATATGTAGGGTGATGTAGTATTGAGTAAATATGCTTATATAAAAGTACAGGCCGATGTAGTATTGAGTACAATCGGAATAATGTTGGTTGGATAAAATGAGATATCGGGGGCTGATACAACCAGATAACCGGTCGATGGGTTCACCATGATACCTGTTGGCTGGATACAACCAGACAATTTAATGTTGATACAACCGGATAAATGATGGCTGGATACAGCCAGATGAATGATGGCTGGATACAACTAGATAAATGATGGCTGGATACAGCCAGATAAATGATGGCTGGATACAACTAGATAAATGATGGCTGGATACAACTATACAAATGATGGCTGGATACAACCAGATAAATGATGGCTGGATACAACCAGACAATTTAATGTTGATACAACCGAATAAATGATTGCTGTCAGTACAGCCAGATAAATGATGGCTGGATACAACCAGATACTTTTAGCTAGACACAAACAGATAACTGTTGTTTGGTACAACCGGATAGCTGTTGGCTGGATTGACAAGGCTCGACTGTGAAATAGGTTGTAAACCATAATCATATCACCCCCTTTGAATGAATAAAAGTTTGGTTTAGCACGGGTTTAAACAACTACAAGATGCCTATACCAAATCACAGTGTAACTTGTATAAATTTACTAAAAGCGTTATATTCCTAATTGATTAATTAATTATTAAAACCATAATTACAACATATATCTGTAAATTTTCAACATCATGATGTTACGTCATGTCGACGAGTTACTCATTACCAAGAACATGATGTTGAAAATGAAAATGCACTGCCTCTCAGTGTTTCGAGCAACTGAATGTTATTGAACAAACATTTCTGATGTGTTACAAAAGATTAAATTTAGCTGAGCCGTTTGAAAGACAATTTATTTTGAAATAGAAAATAACGCAACACCATCAATAGAATCAACACACAAGGACAAGCTTGAAATGCAATATACATACGAATAGAGAATAACGGGAACGAATGGTCTATTAAAACAAGGGGAAAACAACCCCGAACCCCAACAAAAACTTTTATTACACGTGTTAGCTTGGCAATGTAGTACATCTACTGAAAGTGTGAGCTGACCTTTCCTCTCAGGAGAAGCATAATAATAAAGTCGACATCAAACGAACTCATTATAGGAATTAATCGCCATGAAATGGTAGAAAATAGATATGCTTCGTACACTTATATCTAAACGGACACCAATTCGGTGATGGCTTCTCCTCAAAATAGAGTAACAATCAAATGCTCTTATCGAACCCTATGGTCAGTTGACCATCCGTTTATCTGCTGTGGACAGCTAACTGACCATCAAATTAAGCATTAAATGTGAAATGACTCGAGTTACAAAGGGACAGGCAGTAAGCTGGAATGACCTATTGGTGGCCAGGGTTATCGCCCTTTGACCCGATAGCATCTCATCATCGCCACTTAACGGCGCTGGTGACAGAAACATAAAAGTGACACTCTTGCAATCTGATTTGAATATTCATGACTTTGTCGCCATGGATATAACTATCTTCTCTTCAACGCGTTTGTAGCTTTTGATGTTTGTATATAATTGTAAGCATTAGGAAAACTGATATATAATTATCAGAAAATATGAACCAATGCTTATTCCAAGTACAGAAATGACCGATAATTTAATCTACGTCAAAGCAGTTTCATCGCATATTTATTTCCCGCTCGTGAATCATTTCCGAACTGATTTTTTTTTTCTGAAAAAAAAATTGTAAATGTTTCGTTGATCTATACAAATGTAATGCAGGAAATAGGAACACTGTGTGACTTTCACACGGTAAAAATAATTGAAAATTCAACATTATGGGAAACTTTTAATTTCTAATCGATGAAGACTTCTCAATACTATTTTAAATCCTTTCCATTTATTGAATTTGTGTTCATATCTCAACAAACAGTTTAACACTTAAAGACACCTTGATAAAAATAAAATAAAAATCACAACAGAATTTACATGATTGTCAGCTAACAGTTAAGCAGAAATAGACCAGGTAGATATGTTCCGAAAAATACAACATACAAAATGGCCGACGAAACATCGTTATTAAAGTTAATTTGCTGTGAACTTGAGATGGTCTCTTTACTCGACTAATAATTCAATTAAAGTATGGACCTATGCACGGTACAGGTAAAAAAAACACCACCGCGTGACGGTGTCACAAATCAGGCGGTTACGGCTAGATAAGCGGGTTAATGACAAGAGCAGATAACCTCAGATGACCCTCTCGTCACATGCGGGTGATAGGGGGCATTTCATATCTGTTGTCTGCCAGGGTAGACGCGCTTGGACGCTGACACGCGAATTAAGTTTTATGAGAACAAAAACATTTCATAATTATTTTAATTATTTAACATATAGGAATAAAGTTGCTATTGAAAACCATGGGTTTTAGTGTAAACGCCTTTGACTGTGAAATCGGACAGGAACTGGACGAAGCAGATGTTATTTCAGAAAAATAGTCATCTTTGTATACTTGAAAATCGATAAAAGTGTCTAAACATAAACAATGTAATTATGCACGTAAATGCTGTCTAACAGTATTATATACATAACATATACAATGTGCTGATGTACGCAAATACTATGTAACTGTACTATATAATACATAACATAGTCAATGTATTAATGTTACTGTACGTAAATACTATGTAACTGTACTGTATATAGTATATAACATATACAATGAATTGATGTACGTCAATACTACAACGTATGTAATAGTACTATATATATATATAACATACACAATGTATTGATGTACGTAAATAGTATGTACCTGTAACTGTAAATAGTATATAACATATACAATGAATTGATGTACGTCAATACTACAACGTATGTAATAGTACTATATATATATATAACATATACAATGAATTGATGTGCGTCAATACTACAACGTATGTAACAGTACTATATATATATATAACATATACAATGAATTGATGTGCGTCAATACTACAACGTATGTAACAGTACTATATATATATATAACATATACAATGAATCGATGTGCGTTAATACTACGACGTATGTAACAGTACTATATATAACATATACAATGTATTGATGTTCGTTAATACTATGTAACAGTACTATATATATATATAACATATACAATGTATTTATGTACGTTAATACTATGTAACAGTACTATATATATATATAACATATACAATGAATCGATGTGCGTTAATACTACAACGTATGTAACAGTACTATATATAACATATACAATGTATTGATGTATGTATATACTGTATAACAGTACTATATATATATAACACATACAATGAATCGATGTGCGTCAATACTACAACGTATGTAACAGTACTATATATATATATATAACATATCCAATGTATTGATGTACGTTAATACTATGTAACAGTACTATATATATATATGACATATACAATGTATTGATGTACGTAAATACTATATAACAGTACTCTATATATATATAACACATACAATGAATCGATGTGCGTTAATACTACGACGTATGTAACAGTACTATATATAACATATACAATGTATTGATGTTCGTTAATACTATGTAACAGTACTATATATATATAACATATACAATGAATTGATGTGCGTCAATACTACAACGTATGTAACAGTACTATATATAACATATACAATGTATTGATGTACGTAAACACTGTGTAACAGTGCTATATATGTAACATATACAATGTATTAATGTGCGAAATAATATGTAACAGTTTTATATATATGTATAACATATAAAATGTATCATTGTACGTACTATATATATAACATATATAATGTACTTATGTACGTAAATGCTATGTTGTTTTTTTGAAAAAGTACGTTATCTTGGAAAACAGATGACCAAACATTTGCCTTTTTTGTATAAAGGTAAAACATACATTATTTACTGATATTACTCAATTGTTTTTCGTTCTATTTTTTTTACACATTGAATTCCTATTCTATATTTCTATTTAACGAAGTAACGAACATTTGCCAACATATCAAAAAACAAATCGTTAAGTAGAACATGAGGTTGATCGAGTCATTTGAATGGGTGGGGATGTTACGTAGGTGCAGAAGAATCGGCACACGTTGGGCTCACTTACAGTATAACTTAATATTACAAATACCCCGCGTTAATTACATGTCTAGTCGTATTGTGGGCGTGGCATATTATTTAGTAGCACGGCACAGGATAGAGCGGAGGACTATATTGGTTCTGTTAAGTGATAACTAATAGTTTAACAAAATCAAGTCCGTCATCACCCTTATTAAATGAAATACGGCCCCGAATGGATAAACATGACAGCGCCATAACGGAGACACAATGAGCAATTTGACGGCTCACTTAGTGGTGATTACCGCCCCTACAGACCGCTGTGAGGTTCTTGTACTGGGTTTACTGGCGGTAATTGGCTATTAATGCTAGGATCATAGGCTGTCGATTGTTGTAGAAATTACATGGGCTATATAAAGCCCTTTTCCAAAATATTTCAAAATTTATTTCGGAACGATCACATGCGTATCTCTACCAAATAATACTTAATTTACATGTTGATTTCAAAGTAATATTTAAAACTCTTGATTTAAAGCTGGTATAAAATTGCTTTGGAATTTGACGTCTGCGATTTTGGAGACCGTATACAATGAAAGTAGAACAGGACAACCAGGAAAATTCAGGTCAGTGGTAACACTATCAAGTTTGTGTGTAGTTCTGTTATGTAATATTTTCTATGACAGGAGAATCATGGTCAGTGGTAAAACTATCAGGATTGTATATAGTTCTGTTATGTAATATTTACTATGACAGGAGAATCATGGTAAGTGGTAACACTATCGTGTGTGTGTGTTGTTCTGTTATGTAATATTTCCTATAACAGGAGAATCATGGTCAGTGGTAACACTATCGAGTTTGTGTGTAGTTCTGTTATGTAATATTTACTATAACATGAGAATCATGGTCAGTGGTAACACTATCAAGTTTGTGTGTAGTTCTGTCAGTGGTAACACTATCAAGTTTGTATGTAGTTCTGTTATGTAATATTTACTATAACATGAGAATCATGGTCAGTGGTAACACTATCAAGTTTGTGTGTAGTTCTGTTATGTAATATTTTCTATGACAGGAGAATCATGGTCAGTGGTAGAACTATCAAGTTTGTATATAGCTCTGTTATTTAATATTTACTATGACAGGAGAATCATGGCCAGTGGTAACACTATCGAGTTTGTGTGTAGTTCTGTTATGTAATATTTACTATGACAGGAGAATCATGGTCAGTGGTAACACTATCGTGTGTGTGTGTTGTTCTGTTATGTAATATTTACTATAACAGGAGAATCATGGTCAGTGGTAACACTATCGAGTGTGTGTGTAGTTCTTTTATGTAAAATTTACTATGACAGGAGAATCATGGTCAGTGGTAACACTATCGAGGGTGTGTGTAGTTCTGTTATGTAATATTTACTACGACAGGAGAATCATGGTCAGTGGTAACACTATATTTACTATGACAGGAGAATCATGGTCAGTGGTAGCACTATCGAGCGTGTGTGTAGTTCTGTTATGTAATGTTTACTATGACTGGAGAATCATGGTCAGTGGTAACACTATCAAGTTTGTATGTAGTTCTGTTATGTAATATTTACTATGACAGGAGAATCATGGTCAGTGGTAACACTATCGAGCGTGTGTGTAGTTCTGTTATGTAATATTTACTATGACTGGAGAATCATGGTCAGTGGTAACACTATCAAGTTTGTGTGTAGTTCTGTTATGTAATATTTACTATGACAGGAGAATCATGGTCAGTGGTCACACTATCAAGTTTGTTTGTAGTTCTGTTATGTAATATTTACTATGACATGAGAGTCATGGTCAGTGGTCACACTATCAAGTTTGTGTGTAGTTCTGTTATGTAATATTTACTATGACAGGAGATTCATAGTCAGTGGTAACACTATCAAGTTTGTATGTAGTTCTGTTATGTAATATTTACTATGACAGGGGAATCATGGTCAGTGGTAACACTATCAAGTTTGTGTGTAATTCTGTTATGTAATATTTACTATGACAGGAGATTCATAATCAGTGGTAACACTATCAAGTTTGTATGTAGTTCTGTTATGTAATATTTACTATGACAGCATAATCATGGTCAGTGGTAACACTATCAAGTTTGTATGCAGTTCTGTTATGTAATATTTACTATGACAGGAGAATCATTGTCAGTGGTAAAACTATCAAGTTTGTATATAGTTCTGTTATGTAATATTTACTATGACAGGAGAATCATGGTCGGTGGTAACACTATCAAGTTTATGTGTAGTTCTGTTATGTAATATTTACTACGACAGGAGAATCATGGTCAGTGGTAACACTATCAAGTTTGTGTGTAGTTCTGTTATGTAACATTTACTATGACAGGAGAATTATGGTCAGTGGTACCACTATCAAGTTCGTGTGTAGTTCTGTTATGTAATATTTACTATGACATGAGAATCATGGTCAGTGGTAACACTATCAAGTTTGTGTGTAGTTCTGTTATGTAATATTTACTATGACAGGAGAATTATGGTCAGTGGTAACACTATCAAGTTCGTGTGTAGTTCTGTTATGTAATATTTACTATGACAGGAGAATCATGGTCGGTGGTAACACTATCAAGTTTATGTGTAGTTCTGTTATGTAATATTTACTACGACAGGAGAATCATGGTCAGTGGTAACACTATCAAGTTTGTGTGTAGTTCTGTTCTGTAATATTTACATTGACAGGAACATTAAGGTCAGTGGTAACACTATCAAGTTTGTATGTAGTTCTGTTATGTAATATTTATTATGACAGGAGAATCATGGTCAGTGGTAACACTATCAAGTTTGTGTGTAGTTCTGTTATGTAATATTTACTATGACAGGAGAATCACGGTCAGTGGTAACACTATCAAGTTTGTGTGTAGTTCTGTTATGTTATATTTACTATGACAGGAGGATCACGGTCAGTGGTAACACTATCAAGTTTGTGTGTAGTTCTGTTATGTAATATTTCCTATGACAGGAGAATCACGGTCAGTGGTAACACTATCAAGTTTATGTGTAGTTCTGTTATGTAATATTTACTACAGGAGAATCATGGTCAGTGGTCACAATATCAAGTTTGTTTGTAGTTCTGTTATGTAATATTTACTATGACAGGATAATCATGGTCAGTGGTAACGCTATCAAGTTCGTTTGTAGCTCTGTTCTGTAATATTTACATTGACAGGAACATTAAGGTCAGTGGTAACACTATCAAGTTTGTTTGTAGCTCTGTATTGTAATATTAAATATTAAGGTTATCGCTAATGTGTTTAATTTTGATTCCGCAAATGGTTTGCCCATAGTGATTTATTTTCTGGCCCGAAATGACCAAGGTTGTCGATGGGCTGTAGACAAGGTTTGACCGAAGGGTAAGCGTCTTCAGCCCTATCGTTGACACCCGCGATGTAAATCTAGGTCAAATTCAAGTAACGCTACGTCCTCGTAGCTAGGTTAAATGGGTCAGTGACAACAAAACCACATCATAACAAATACGACCTTCAGTCGCACAAAAAAATGTCATACCTCCCTATATGACTGCCATAGTGATCTCACCAGACATATTTGGAAACCCAGTGGTCGGTCAGCAGTCGATACTTGTCACTTAAATCACGACATTTGGAGCAAGCCCTGGGATACCGAACCCACCACTAAACGTTCCTGAATGCACCGTCAATGGGTGTGTTGGTAAAAAGAGACAACATCATGTGAAATGAATTTTTCGTCTTCCTGAATTATGATGGTAGACATAACTTCCGCTAGATGTTTCTAGTTCTTGACATGGTACATTGTAACCAATGAACCCAGTGTGGTCAACAGTAGGCCTCGGTGGCTTATTATTATTATTATCATTTATACGGTGGCTCCATCAATGCTGGTGTTGTGGTCTCGGTACCTGTACTCGTACACAGTGTACACCTACGCCTCACTGGTCATTTGTCTGAGGAAGGTTACAGAGTACATACCGTACTAGTCATAGAAACGTCTCATAGAAACTCTTATTGGTTGTCATAAGGATGTACTGAATTAGGAGAAATGTTTACTTGTTGATAACGAACTCACTAGCTGTTTTATCCTCGTAACAGTTCTTACTTTTACTTTTCCCCCATGTAGGTTCATTATCAATGTTACACGAGTGTTAATAATAACAAAAACGGTTAGATATGCCAGTTTACCGTTAGTACTATATCTGGTGACGTGATTTCTATTACACACTCTACTGTTTAAGCAACGTCAAAGTCTGCTGCTGTCTGACGCCGCAATAGCAATGCTATGTTTTCATATTCATATGCAACCAATTCATCGATCAAAAGATCAGAGGTAGTGTTCAAACAAATAGTAATGCTCTATTGCCTGGATAGTAAACTGACCACTTTATAAAACTGAACCTGTTTTGTCATTATGTTACACAAAGATTGACGGGGACATTGTAGTTGTTCTTTTATAGATATAGATAAATAAGATTTGTTGTAGTTAAATTACAATTGTATTAAAACTCTGGTAATCCGTTGTAATGTTTTAGGGCAAAAGTTGCACTCAAACAAAATTTCATTACTCATATTTCTGAACAAGTGAGCTTCAGCCGATTAAATAAAAATGAAAAGTCTATAAGATTAATTCTGGTAACAAAATTCCTTTCTCAATAGTCATTTTAAGAAAATATAAACAAAAAGGACCCCCATTTTGTTCCTCAATTTGAAATCCGGGCTCTAATATCCTCCATCAATTATTGTTACGTAATATGTAATACGTATCACACTATTATTTGTAACACAAGCAATGTACGTATTAAATGTGTCGCCACGCCTCAAAGTCAACTGGCCCCCAGAACTTGACAAAGAGACAAGTGGAACGTTGTGACACATTAAATTCGCACATTGCTTGTGTATAAAGTAAAATGTTGATGTTATTGAAATCATGACGTCATTTCAGTCTTACTTATTACGTTCCAGTGGACGTTATATCATATGCTATAATTTGACTATGCGTCGGATTATAGCAAGATTTTGAATACAAATGGTGTTTTTTTTTGTATAATTTCATCCTCTTTAATAGCAAAAGTATTTTTAAGTAAGGTATTTTTTCTGCATACAACTCTTTTTTATGTATAGATATAAAAAAGCTGACCAGGAGGATAATATACAAAAAGCTTTTGTGAATATATAACTTTTAAATTTTTAGCTGTGAGGAGTTTACAGAGACTACATGCTATGGTTCTAAAGAAGAATGACATCCCGGAAGATCTGCCTGGTACTCTGGTCAGCAAGGGGCGGAAACCTCGACACAGGTTAGTAAGGGGCGGAAACCTCGACACAGGTCAGTAAGGGGCGGAAACCTCGACATAGGTCAGTTAGGGGCGGAAACATCGGCATGGGTCAGTAAGGGTCGGAAACCTCGATACAGGTAAGTAAGGGTCGATAACCTCGACACAGGTCAGTAAGGGGAGGAAACCTCGACACAGGTCAGTAAGGGTCGGAAACCTCGACACAGGTCAGTAAGGGGCGGAAACCTCGACACAGGTCAGTGAGGGGCGGAAACCTCGACATGGGTCAGTAAGGGGCGCAAACATCGACATGGGTCAGTAAGGGTCGGAAACCTCGACACAGGTCAGTAAGGGGCGGAAACCTCGACACAGGTCAATGAGGGTCGGAAACCTCGACATGGGTCATTAAGGGGCGGTAACCTCGACACAGGTCAGTAAGGGGCGGAAACCTCGACACAGGTCAGTAAGGGGCGGAAACCTCGACATGGGTCAGTAAGGGGCGGTAACCTCGACACAGGTCAGTAAGGGGAGGAAACCTCGACACAGGTTAGTAAGGGGCGGAAACCTCGACCCAGGTCATTAAGGGGCGGAAACCTCGACATGGGTCAGTAAGGGGCGGAAACATCGACATGGGTCAGTAAGGGGCGGAAACTTCGACACAGGTCAGTAAGGGTCGGAAACGTCGATACAGGTCAGTTAAGGTCGGAAACCTCGACATGGGTCAGTAAGGGGCGGAAACATCGACATGGGTCAGTAAGGGGCGGAAACCTCGACACATGTCTATCAGGTGCGGAAACGTCGACACAGGTCAGTAAGGGGCGAACACCTCGACACAGGTCAGCACACAGTTTAACTTCGCGTCAACAGTAATTTGCTTTAAGGCCGAACCAGTTTCATTTAACAAGCAGCGCACCAAGGACACTTACTTTACACGTGTACTGCATATATCACCTAAGTCAAAGATATACATTTTGTATGTGTCTATTCTGTTCCAGTAGCATGCTGAGAGTGAGGGTTCAGTTTGTTCAATTGAATGACCTTTATTGATTTTCAAGGTTTTTCAAACGTGTTAAAATCGTAAAAGGACATTTTATCTGAATAAAAAAGAGTCAGAAAGTCATGATGTTAGTATGAAGAGCTATCACACTTGTTGTGATAATGGCAAGGATACTTATTTTGTCTATAGGGGTCAAATGAGTAAAACTTAGAAACAGCCTCTACTGAATGCCCGGCAGTTAACGGGACATGTAAATCGGCCTCCGCTAGTTTAAAAGTTAACATATACGTCTGAATGTAACCATTCTCTCAATTATGTACATCTTATGTATCTTACCAAAGGTACACACGTTGCCTGTGTCTGTTCTGCTCCAGTCACGGAAACTCAAACACAGCTGTTCTCTGTTAATAGATTTAATCTATTTAATGTGTTATTTTTCATTTTGTTCTAGAACAACATTTTCTCCATTCCAACTGAAAGAAATGGAGAAGGCTTTCCGACGAGCACCCTACCCAGACGTCGTCACCCGGGAGGATTTGGCGCAGAAACTGGCTTTAAATGAATCCAGAGTTCAGGTTTGTTATTTATAAATAAAGTCCTTAATTGTTGTATTAGATACTATATAATGTGGCTATAAAACAAAACAAAGCGTACGAAAAGCGTACAGAGGAATGTACTGTATTTGGCAAGGAACAGTGTGACGTCACAAATAAACTGAAGTCATAACACAGTGAATGTTAACCTGCTGTTACTAAAAATAGTTACACCGAGACAACGTCACACACTACCGACTTCCATGTGATTCTGACCCAACCAATGAGGATGTAGGAATATGTTTGTCATCCAATATACATGGTCATTAAACCACAGGACATTTGGAATACAGTCTCAGAAAGTCTGGAAGCTTGTCTGACAGATAGCAGTATCTGAATGAACGCCAACATGCTTAAACTTAATCAGGAAAAGACGGAACTAATCGTCTTTTTCCCCAAAGTGGCAGCACACAATGGCTCACCAGCTCAAGGTTAGTGCCAGAACTATTGAGACTGTTCCAGCTGTTAAAAACCTAGGGTTATTCTTTGACAGTTCTCTGAACACGGAGAAACAAGTGAACGCTATTGCCAAATCCTGTTACTACCAGATCAGGAACATCGGCTGTATTCGGCAGTTTCTAACTGCAGATGCATGCAAGATTTTGGTGCATTCACTTGTTACCTCTCGGTTGGATTATGGTAACGTCCTGCTCTGTGGTATATCTGACAAATTAACTAGTCGTCTGCTGAGGGTCCAAAACACTGCAGCACGGCTAGTTACTCGTACTCGAAAGAGAGAGCACAGCACCCCTGCGCTTTATTCGTTGCACTGGTTACCTGTACGATACAGGTCGCAGTACAAAATTCTGGTATACACATACAAGGCACTGAATGGAACAGCTCCTCAGTACCAACAGGAGCTTGTTACCCTGTATCAGCCGTCAAGATCACTGCGGTCGGAGTCAGAATCTTTGTTGTGTGTCCAAAAATCTCGTACTGTGACCTACGGAAACAGATGCTTTGGGATGGTTTCGGCTACGTTGTGGAATAATTTACCATCTGTTATCAGGAAGTCAAATACCCTGGCCAAGTTCAAGAGGGACATAAAAACTCACCTCTTCACGCTTGCATTTTAGAATCTTTGCAAAGACGTCATGTACATACCACCCTTTTATTTGTTTAAGTATGTGCACATTGCTTTTTAAATGTATGAAAGTGATTGCAAGCCTTTGTTTTTTTGTTTTCACAATTATAACCATGACTATTATCCGTATGTTGTAAAGCGCCTTAGAGTAATTTTACAAATTATATAGGGCGCTATATAAATGTTGTATATTATTATCATTATTATATCTCTATAGCCAATATTATTATGGTTAGCCTCTATTAATATGAAAGGATTTCTCCTTTTTAGCCCAGCATTAGCACAGATTAACGACAAATAGTTTGATTAATGGATAAATGCATGTTATAAACAATTATTTTATTAACGTAAAAAAATAACGTGTTCATGACACGCGCTAATTTGTAATTTGTATTCAAATTGATTTCGTGTGATTGTTAATAATTATGGAAACCTATTTGTTACTACATCTGCGTAGACTCTCGTATTTCTATTGGGTCGGATATGTCACGTGATTACTGACTAGAGCCTTCACAAATCTGATTGATATTATTTCCAGTCAAACATTTTGTATGTTTCCTCAATATATACCGACATTTCAGTTGATTCAGTGTCTTTTATTCCCAGTTCGAGCGTCAATCTAACCTTTTTGTCCAAATATCGGAATGTAGTGACACTGTTAACAGTTTAACTGTAGCATGTGTTTGATTATGTTTTTATTTTATGTCTGCAGATCTGGTTTCAGAACAGACGCGCTAAGTGGAGAAAGGGCGTTGCTCCAAAGGTCGATATATGTCCTGAGGGTGAGTTACAGGTGGAATTCTGACAACATTATTTCCGGTCGTCTACCAAATCACAATATTTGTTTCATTACCCCTTTGCTGGTGAGGTATCAAAGTCTTTCAACTTAACATTGTTATCTTTCACGCTGTAAAAGATATCAGAAATATCTATTTACAGTGTGATTACATTTAGTATTGACCAATCAGACTGGTCGTTTCTATTCGCTTCTTTCACAGACGCATACTTTCTGATCGGATATGCTACATATACTAAGGTATTTATTTACCTTCACAATTAAAAACATTTATGCAAGCAATCTTGCAAATAATAGCAGAAATCGGTAGAATATTGGATTCAGAAGCCCGTTCAAAATGGCACAAAGAATTGTTGTTAAGCGTGACAGAATTTGAATAAGGCCCCGGAATTATGCTATTAAATCTGCTTTAATGCAGTAGTGCATGTAGTTTAACAACATAATGACAAGGAAATTACCAGGAGCGTTAAGGGTCATTTCCAGCAACATCACGAATTTAGAAGTAGGTGTTAAGTTCGTAATCTTTGATGAATAAGGTACGCAAATATGAATTTTCAAATAACAAAGAGAGATGTAAACGCGCATTTGTCATATAATAATGCGTGACTATCGTCTGTTGTACTTTATAAACATTGACAATCGGCCATTTTGAAGCAAATTAACTAATTATACCACTGTTCATTTTTTGAAAGTCTCTGCCAATATATCCAAATACACAGGGAAGGGTCCACTTAATATAGTAAGCAAGGGAAGTGGTGATTCTGAAAATTTATTGATAAAACCTCAATTATAATAAACATTTGAACTATAAGTAGATGTGTGAGTGTCTTTAGCTGTTGTCCTGTAGCTATCTTTTTGCTGTATCAAGTGTTTGACTTTCATCAAGATACATGGTATAGCATGTCTTAATAGATTATTGACAGCGTCCGTATAGGCGACACCGCGAATGAAACACGTTGAAGTATTGGAATTAAGAATATTTTATAACGTTAACATGCTTAACTATGTTACAGACGATTTCTCTGCCACTAAGACCGAACCCGTTACCCAATTGCCACCTGCCCCGTCAACAGAGAATCTTCCTAATAAGGAGGGAGCATGGCAACCCTGGTCCCTTCTGGCTGGAGACTATTCCTACTATCCACCATCGTGGTTAGGACCCGTGGCAGAACAATCTCAGACTCACTACCTGTCTCACCACCAGGCGGCACCACTGACAGGTCACGTGGAACACATGTCATTTCCGTCTCCGATTAATCTTGTTCAGAGAGAGATGGGGTCACGGGATACACCGTTTATGAGTAAATACGTATTCGGAAAACCCAACAAAGAGTCCACAAACACTCGGATGAAAATGTTTAATTAAGCTTGAATTATCAATCATAAACATAAACGTAATCATAATCATAAACATATATTTATTGAAGTGTATATCTTGCTCATGTACCAATATAATAAAGATATCAGAAAACGCTATCACTCCTTTAATTGAAAGGAAACAATAAAACATATTTTGAACAAATTCGCATTTTAAAAAACTAGATGTTTTAAGCGTGAAACTTGTTTTATTTTGCATCATAAAGTGTATAGAGAGATATATGATAGAGGTATATGATAGAGCAGTAATTCGCAAGTGTGATAATAAGGGGAACAAATATTAATTTGCTTGAAAATTTTAATGATAAGAGAATGACAATGTATATTATATGCTATTTTTTTTAATTCTTAGAAATTGATATTGCGTATTCCTTGTATCAATTGATTATGTTTTAGAATCGTCTTCAGCAAACATATTATGTTAATATCTTATAATGTGCCTTGTTGTTATCGGAGATCACGTGTTCAAATAGTGGCGATGCCGTAGTGACGCTTGGTCCACACGCAAATGAGATGTTGCTGTGGTATTGTTACCAATGGTTGACCGCTGATCCGCCCAACATCTTCAGGAATATACCTGTTAACAGCAGCAAATCAGAGAATAATACAAAATATAGCGCAACCTCTTGTTTCATCATGTAATCGGACTTAAAAACAGGGAGGAAAAGCCTAGACGACAGACCGCTGATTATAACTTCCACGTTCGAGTACGACTTTGTTTTCTTATATACATATATGAATGACTTTACGAGATAACTTAAAAGAATAAAAATTCCCAAAAGTTTGATATCCATTCTATTTCATTATCTTTTATTAACATCAAAATATATACAAAACAAATATATACAATTTATATATATAAATACTAGCTTTACAAAATGCATGAATTGATTCATATAAGATATGGCGTCATAACGTAATGTGTTACCACGTTCATTGAGGTAACTCAAAACATTACCTGGGACTTCAGATAGAGTTAGAATCGTAGACGGTGCAATACCTACGATTTAATACGTATACCAGGTCGGCTGACAACCTGGGCTTAAGTTCAATCTTGATGGTTTCTTTAAATTTCATTTATATAACATTGGCGCAATTCAGGTTGAAAACTGCTCATTCATTCATAAATAAGACGATTAAAATTGTATTTATGTTCTTGTGTCTTATTACGTCGTTTTATAGAAATACAATAAACACATCATAGTCTATCCACTGAAAGTGACGAGAACCAACAGATAGACTATAATATGACCATTGTCGTCATTGTTATATATTTGTTTAGGTCCTTTTGAAAAGAAGCATTCCATAATAAGTATACGCTACGATACAGTTTACAGAATCATAGTTGTTAGAATATTGAAATGATTTTTTTTAGCAAAGATTGAACTCTGGACCATTACAAAGCCCAAACTTAATAAATGTTGTCATATAGAAATTATAAGTGTATATCATCATAACAAGTGTGACAACAATTACAAGGGAGGTTACTCTAGGCCAGAAGAACTGTTGTATCTTCTATATAGAAGGGAGAACACAGTGGTACCAACCGGTTATCATATTTCTTATTATATTTATCAGCACTTCATTCAAAAACCAACCGAATTCGTTAAAAACGTTCATGGTATTTTCGACAAAAATGGAGGGCAGTTGGTGATCTATTTCGTTTACAATATCAAGTATCATATTAAATTATATATACACGTGCATTGAAGTTTAAACCCTAATTAAAGTTCTAAAGCTTTCCCAGACAACAAATATAACATTATCATTACCCTGAGGTAGTGTGTCGGTTTGTTTGGCACTCTATTGTTAGTACATTATTATTCGTAGCAAGGAATCATGAAAGAGATGACTTTACATTTTATTGCTTTACGGCTTATTATAGATTACGATACAGGCAAGTGTCGACAAATCTTTTCAGAACAATTTGAAATGTTCGTTGAAAAGTGGCAGAAACATACCCTTGTTTTAGGGGTTCACAATGAACAAGGACACATCGGAGCGGCCCAGGAGATACACACAATCAACAGAGCGTCTCAATGTACAAACAAAGAACTACACTGTCATTGATCAGTTATTATAGAGGATGTTCTTAAGGACAAAAATAGTGAGAAAACTACAAAACACAAAACGTTAAATAAATAAAATCTTAAATATATTCGAACAGAAATGTGGATATCGATTTTCTTGGTTTAATGCAGATTAGGAGATCGATTCGTCCAGTAACCCATCTCTCCCGTATGATACATCATTGTAACAACCGTGTAGGATGAACAAAGAAAGGCACACGGACCATGACGTATTGTAGAAAACTTAAAACATTCATTCAGCGAACGAGAACATTACCTTCTATCTCCCCTGGTCTGGTTTTTAGTATTTCCAATCGATTGTGAATAAACAAACCGTGGAACTGATCTTCACAATTACCACTATACGTTACTCTTATTGCATAGTAATGGTTGAAATTATCGAGATAGTTTGATCTTGAAGTGCCTCAATTAGAGGACAAGCACGTGACTACATATTACTAGTTCACTTCTATTTAATTACGTTTATATGAGTTTGTAATAAGCGGGAAATCAGTCAATTATTGTGACATATAACTCCCCTCATCGGAAAGACCGCATCAAGAGTAAAACTATATTTGTGATAGATTATTACAGTCTATTGGTTTAGCTGTTGAAAATTTCCCTGTGGCTGTGTCAACAAAAGCGGCCGGATGGTTCATCCGTGTGAAGTTTCTTATAACAAAACAAAGAGTTAAATGAAATACAATTGTTAATATCTATCATGGAGATGAAGTCTGAAATATCCGAGATGGAAGTGACGGAGTTAGGCCTTCCTCCATATCTCTTCTCTTTCTACCATTAGATATCATACGGGGGTAGTCCGAACTGTTCCGGTTTAAACTGTAGAAGTGACTCGAGTGTGAGTGTGGCCTTCTCGCTGTATCCGTCCTGAGGTTGTTCCGGGTCGGGTACCCACACACATTGCATGCCTGCTGCCCGGGCCGCCACCACACCGTTAATGGCATCCTCCAACACCAAACACTGACCGCAACAGAAAAACGATAAATTATAGACTGGGAAAAAAATAAAGATTTGACGAAATAAATGGTTGCAGAGGTTAATATGGTGATACATAAAACAATGTTGTCTTTTGAATGTAGAGTGTATAACTGGCTTGTTTAACTTTCGACATCCAAATAGTTGATAAACACAGAAGAATGGAAGTTACTTTGACCTCTTAGATTCCTAGATAGACCCTTTAATCTATCGCCGTTACTGACGAGTGTTAGTTAACGGTCGTTAAACAATGAAAATACTCAACAAATGGAATTTCATTGATAATGTGACAGAAAGTTTGATAAAGAAAATTACCCAGGTGAGAATTAGATAGGAAGGGGTGGGAGAATAAACCTCTGTCAAACTTAAGGTTTACACTAGCAGTGAAGTACTTGTGGTAGGGATGTTAGAAGATAATTGGTACCCTGGACGTTTCCGGATTATCCGGAAATCGAGATGCCGCAATTAAGAAACAATCTGGAGCCGGTTTGCTATGCACCACTTCCGGATCGTCAGTACTGTAGACAAAATGGTGAAAGTGACTGAACAGTTGTCTGTGACGTGTCGTCTTCAGCTCGATACTTCGCTTACTAGACCCTGTTGCCACGGCGATAGGGACACAATGTTTATAGAGATGTTTTACCAACTTTTCTGCGCCTAGGAAGAAATTACATTATTTAAGAAAAATACATACTTTAAGTCATGCTTTCAGTAGATTAACTTATAATTCTAATAAAGCAATCCTTGAAAATATGATTGGAGCAATATGTGGCTGGGAAATGATTCGAAGGTGTTAAGATAACTTATATCGTTTGAAGATTCACATAATAAATTTTGGGAAATCAAACAGATGAAAGTATTTTTGTCCTTTATAAATTGTTAATTATTCCTCCGACAAATGTTGTAACTCTGTTTCTACGATAATATATTACAATCAGACCAAGTGTCACTGATAGTAAATATCGATTATTTGCATGTATAACACATACATATATGTATTATGCATACACATAATCAATATTTACAATATGTTACACATATATATTCTGACTAATACAAGATAGATTTTACATGTAAGTTAAAAAACACTGTAGAAACATCTGCATTTTGGCTAGTAAGCAATTCTGTTAATAATAATAATAAACAACATTTATATAGCGCCCTATATAATTTGTAAAATTACTCTAAAGCGCTTTACAACATATGGATAATAGTATTAGTTATAATTGTGAAACAAACACAAAGACTTACAATCACTTTTATACATCAAGCAAGCAGATAATCATCGCAATGTGCACATAAATGAATAAAGAAAGGGTGGTATTTACATGACGTCTTTGCAATGAGCCTAAAATGCAGATTTGAACAGGTGAGTTTTGATGTGCTTCTTGAACTTTGCCAGGGTATTTGGCTTTCTAATAGCAGATGGTAAGCTATTCCACAACGTGGCCGTAACCCTCCCAAAGCACCGTCCATAAGTCGCAGTACGAGATTTTGGGACACACAACAAAGATTCTGACTCCGACCGCAGTGATCGTGACGGCTGATACAGGGTAGACAGCTCCTGTAGGAACTGGGGAGCTGTTCCATTCAGTGCCTTGCATGTGTACACCATAATAGTATCGTACAGGTAACCAGTGCAATGAATATAGTACAGGCGTGATGTGCTCTCTCTTTCGAGTACGAGTAACCAGCCGTGCTGCAGTGTTCAGTACTTTCTGCAGACGACTAGTTAGTTTGTCAGATAATCTACCGAGAGGTAGCAAGTGAATGCACCAAAATATTGCATGCATCTGCAGTTATTAACTGCCGGATACAGCCGATGTTCCTGATCGGGTAGTAACAGGATTTGGCAATAACGTTCACTTGTTTCTGCATGTTCAGTGAACTATCAAAGTATACCCCTAGCTTTTTAACAGCTTGGACAGTCTCAATAGGTCTGTCACCGACCTTGAGCTGGAGAGCCATTGTTTGCTGACATTTTAGGGAAAAGACGATCAGTTCCGTCTTTTCCTTATTACGCTTTAGCATGTTGGCACTTATATCTGTCAGACTAGCTTCAAGATTTTCTGAAATTGTATCCTAACTGTCCTGTGGTTTGATGACCATGTAAATGTGTGTGTCATCAGCATAGTAATAATAGCGAAGGCTATGGCGACGACAAATAGGCAATATTTTCGTGGTCATAACGCCGACCTTTGAGGAACCCCGGAATCTAGTACTTTGTCATGTGAGGTGGCAGATCCGATGGCAACACACTGTCGTCGTTCAGCCAGATAAGACTGTATCCGGCAAAGTGCGGTATCAGTCACTCCAGACGTTTATAAAGTATGCCATGATCGATGACGTCAAATGCAGCTGACAAGTCCAGCATGACAAGCACCGCTCTGCACTTGTTATCCAATGCAGAAGTTATGTCATTGTGAACACGTAGGAGGGCCGTCTCAGTACCTCATTAGCTGAGGGGTGATTTATGGCCATTTTGTTGTCCTTATGACTTTAAAATATGACGTAACAATCGAGCATTAACAAATGTACCTTTTGTAGGTTTTATTGGTAAACTCTACTACTCTTTTTGTTTATCAACACATATTTAACTCTCGTTAACTAATTGTGAAATGTCCACAATGCATTCAATAAAGCTCGTCACTTTGGGGAATTTGAAATTTGAAGTTTGTGGTATGTCTGATACAACGGACATCACTGTACCTGGCAGTAGCTCCGCCGTAGGTAACAACACCTCCTGCTGCTGTCTGTCATTTAAGAGGAATTCAGCTACCGTAATGGGAAGCTGCAGTTCGTCTAAAATAAAAATAAATCGTATTATTCTTGTTCATTAACCATCTGCATACATCAATTATATAAGTTCATATTTCTCACCAGTCAATCGTAAGGTTTTCCGTTTAACGACAGGGTAATACGAAATGTGTAACTTCTATATAATCAAACGAAGATGTCGATGCAGTATTAGGAACGAATATGATCAAATGATGTTATCGAGGCAATGTTACATGTAGGAACAAATATGACCAAATGTTGATATCGAGGCAAACTTAGGAATATATATTGTCAAATGTCGATATCTAGGCAATGTTAGGAACACATATTACCAAATGTTGATATCGAGGCAATGTTGGGAACAAATATGATCAAATGTTGATATCTAGGCAATGTTAGGAACAAATATGATCAAATGTTATTATCGAGAAAATGTTAGGAACACATATGACCAAATGTTGCTATCGAGGCAATGTAAGGAACAAATTTGACCAAATGTTGCTATCGAGGCAATGTTAGGAACAAATTTGACCAAATGTTGATATCGAGGCAATATGATCAATTTAAATGGTATCGAAGCGTTGATATTAGGCCAATATACGTAAAGATGTAGGACAATACTGAGATTGATAATAATATATCTCTATAAAAATAAATACACAATGATAATAAAACTGTCTTCTAACTCTCCGATATAGAAATTCAGTGTTTAACATTGACACATTCGTTTATGAAATACACATTTATTTCCTGTTATATCGCCTAAACCGCCTCGATTTCGATGTTTTTCTTGTTGTTGTCTGTTTTAAAGAAGGAAACAAGTGATTGTTTAGAGCAAATATCATAAGATATACAAGTTCTGTGTTGGTGCAAGTTCAATATGGCATGATATATAATAAAACTAATGAATATTGAAACACTGTTACATTTTTGCCGTCCCTATTGTTCGTGGTTACGCTTAAAAATGGTTAACTTCACGCGATCCTTTTCATGGGTTTCAGGTCTATATGAAGTAACCATAACACATAGTTCTAAGGAGAGGAAGGGTTTTACTATTAATTTTGTTGGTAGTATCGTTCGCGGAAAACATCTTACTGCGAACTTAACGAAAATAAGAAACCAACGAAAAACAATCTATCAGCTACTGATTTAAAAAAAAGAAACTACAATGATTTCAGTGTGTCTGTTTTGTGTTTAGTGAACCATCATTAATTCGAAATAAGGAAAATTGAAATTTGATTTTCCGTAGAGATTATAATTATTTTTTTCAATTTTTCTATATAGAGAATTAACGGGGTCAGACAGGCACGCTATGTACAATAATACTACTTAATACAAACCTATTAGAATTTGCGCGACTTCCGTTTCTTTCTTGCCCATTATTTTTCGTTTGACCTGTAATGTTACCTCCCTGCCATATTCCTCCGCAATCTTTTCATTGATGACAGTATACAGTTGTTCTGAGTCTGAAAACATGCAATTATACCGACCTCAAACAATAGGAATTACAAACTAGCGCTGATAGCATTCAAGTATCACTAGATAACAATTACACCGACTTCAAACAATAGGCATTACAAACTAGCGCTGATAGCATTCAAGTCTCACTACATAACAATTACACCGACTTCAAACAATAGGCATTACAAACTAGCGCTGATAGCATTCAATTATCATTCCAACACGATTCGTTTGAAACGCGTGTTTTGATTGGATACGGACAATGTTCTAATCTGCGATAGAATCATGATCAATCGTGTTAAGCTCATCCCATCGCACTTAAGCCACGCCCCGTTTCAAACCAAAACAATATGGCGTCATGCTCGCCTCTTAGCGAAATCCCGCCGATAAGGCTAGTAGGCAACAGAACAGAAACGACCGATGAAATGCATTTGTTGAATGAATTAAAAAGTAAACAGTACACATTCCTTGTTCTTACCTCCATTTATTACTGAAACGTTCGTTCCATCAGTGTGAAGGCATCTATTTAGATCCGAAATCAAATGAAACATTTCACATGTGTCGTATGCATTTACACATAACTCTTAACACATCTATACAAATAATCACCGATTTTGTCGATAAGCACAGATTGGTATGCATACTGACATGGAAATGTAACAACTTGGTCAATATTACTCCAAATGTGTCGTATAAACTTTGGTAAGAGGACGTTCACGAACAATCCAAATATTCCGCCCCGTCAACATGGAGATGGAGCTCTCGCCAGTATGGGCGGGGCCAAATGACCGACTTTTGAAAACCTTCTTTCCTATTGGTCAGTCCGCTACAGAATGACACGTCGCCAGTTCAGGTCACAAAGTACTTTCTACGTACTTTTGTACAAGGAAATACAATGTTTCTAAACATATTAACGTAGTATATTTGTTAAGGTGTGTTAGAATGGGGGTAGTACGTTGTTTTTCGTGTCTATAGTGGCGATTAGAACATGAAATTTGGTTTAAACTCTCGACCTATCGGTCTCGAGTTTAAACCCAAATTTCATGTTCTAATCGCCAGTGTAGCCACTCAAAACATCGTACTATCCCCTAATTCTAACACGATTCGTTTGCAACACGTGTTTTGATTGGATACGGACCATGTTCTAATCTGCGATAGAATCATGATCAATTGTGTAAAGCTCCTCCCATCGCACTTAAGCCACACCCCGTTTCAAACCAAAACAATATGGTGTCAAGCTCGCCTCTTAGCGAAATCCCGCTGATGAGGCTAGTAGGCAACAGAACAGAAACGACCAATGTATTTGTTAAATGAATTAAAAAATAAACAGTACACATTCCTTGTTCTTACCTCGATTTATTACTGAAACGTTCGTTACATCCGTGTGAATGCATCTATTTAGATCCGAAATCAAATGAAACATTTCACATGTGTCGTAATGCATTTTCACAAAACTCTTCACAAATCTATACAAATAATCACCGATTTTGTCGATAAGCACAGATTCGTATGCATACTGACATGGAAATGTAAGAACTTGGTCAATATCAATCCAAATGTGTCGTATAAACTTTGGTAACAGGACGTTCACGAACAATCCAAATATTCCGCCTCGTCAACATACAGATCGAGCGCTCGCCAGTATGGGCGGGGCCAAATGACCGACTTTTGGAAGCTTCTTTCCTATTGGTCAGTCCGCTGCAGAATGACACGTCGCCAGTTCAGGTCATAAAGTATTTTACTACGTACTTTTTTACAAGGAAATACAATGTTTCTAAACATATAAGCTTAGTATATTTGTCAAAGTGTGTTAGAATGGGAATAGTACGTTGTTTTTCGTGTCTATACTGGCGATTAGAACATGAAATTTGGGTTTAAACTCGAGACCGATAGGTCGAGAGTTTAAACCAAATTTCATGTTCTAATCGGCAGTATAGACACGCAAAACAACGTACTATTCCCATTCTAACACACTTTGACAAATATACTAAGCTTATATGTTTAGAAACATTGTATTTCCTTGTAATACAAATACAGATGTAAAATGTATTGATACAAATACACTTGTATAATCTATTGATAATAATACTCCTGTATAATCTATTGGTACAAATACTCCTGTATAATCTATTGGTACAAATACTCCTGTATAATCTATTGGTACAAATACTCCTGTATAATCTATTGATACTATTACACCTGTATAATCTATTCATACAAATACTCCTGTATAATCTACAAATACACCTGTATTTGTATCAATAACTTATACAGGTGTATCAGTATCTATTGATACAAATAAACCCGTATAATCTATTGATACTAATCCACCTGTATAATCTATTTATACAAATACAGCTGTAAAATGTATTGATACAAATACACTTGTATAATCTATCGATACAAATACACCTGTATAATCAATAGATTATACAGGTGGATTTGTATCAATAGATTATGCAGGAGTATTTGTATCAATAGATTATACAGGTGTATTTGTATCAATAGATTATACAAGTGTATTTGTATCAATAGATTATACAGGTGTATTTGTATCAATACATTTTACAGCTGTATTTGTATCAATAGATTATACAGGTGTATTTGTATCAATAGATTATACAGGTGTATCAGTATCAATAGATTATACAGGTTTATTTGTATCAATAGATTATACAGGTTTATTTGTATCAATAGATTATACAGGTGTATTTGTATCAATAGATTATACAGGTGTATTTGTATCAATAGATTATACAGGTGTATTTGTATCAATAGATAATACAGGTGCATTTGTATCAATAGATTATACAGGTGTATTTGTATCAATAGATTATACAGGTGTATTTGTATCAATAGATTATACAGGTGTATTTGTATCAATACATTTTACATCTGTATTTGTATCAATAGATTATACATGTGTATTTGTATCAATAGATTATACAAGTGCATTTTTATCAATAGATTATACAGGTGTATTTGTATCAATAGATTATACAGGTGTATTTGTATCAATAGATTATACAGGTGTATTTGTATCAATAGATTATACAGGTGTATTTGTATCAATAGATTATACAGGTGTATTTGTATCAATAGATTATACAGGTGTATTTGTATCAATAGATTATACAGGTGTATTTGTATCAATAGATTATACAGGTGTATTTGTATCAATAGATTATACAGGTGTATTTGTATCAATAGATTATACAGGTGTATTTGTATCAATAGATTATACAGGTGTATTTGTATCAATAGATTATACAGGTGTATTTGTATCAATAGATTATACAGGTGTATTTGTATCAATAGATTATACAGGTGTATTTGTATCAATAGATTATACAGGTGTATTTGTATCAATAGATTATACAGGTGTATTTGTATCAATAGATTATACAGGTGTATTTGTATCAATAGATTATACAGGTGTATTTGTATCAATAGATTATACAGGTGTATTTGTATCAATAGATTATACAGGTGTATTTGTATCAATAGATTATACAGGTGTATTTGTATCAATAGATTATACAGGTGTATTTGTATCAATAGATTATACAGGTGTATTTGTATCAATAGATTATACAGGTGTATTTGTATCAATAGATTATACAGGTGTATTTGTATCAATAGATTATACAGGTGTATTTGTATCAATAGATTATACAGGTGTATTTGTATCAATAGATTATACAGGTGTATTTGTATCAATAGATTATACAGGTGTATTTGTATCAATAGATTATACAGGTGTATTTGTATCAATAGATTATACAGGTGTATTTGTATCAATAGATTATACAGGTGTATTTGTATCAATAGATTATACAGGTGTATTTGTATCAATAGATTATACAGGTGTATTTGTATCAATAGATTATACAGGTGTATTTGTATCAATAGATTATACAGGTGTATTTGTATCAATAGATTATACAGGTGTATTTGTATCAATAGATTATACAGGTGTATTTGTATCAATAGATTATACAGGTGTATTTGTATCAATAGATTATACAGGTGTATTTGTATCAATAGATTATACAGGTGTATTTGTATCAATAGATTATACAGGTGTATTTGTATCAATAGATTATACAGGTGTATTTGTATCAATAGATTATACAGGTGTATTTGTATCAATAGATTATACAGGTGTATTTGTATCAATAGATTATACAGGTGTATTTGTATCAATAGATTATACAGGTGTATTTGTATCAATAGATTATACAGGTGTATTTGTATCAATAGATTATACAGGTGTATTTGTATCAATAGATTATACAGGTGTATTTGTATCAATAGATTATACAGGTGTATTTGTATCAATAGATTATACAGGTGTATTTGTATCAATAGATTATACAGGTGTATTTGTATCAATAGATTATACAGGTGTATTTGTATCAATAGATTATACAGGTGTATTTGTATCAATAGATTATACAGGTGTATTTGTATCAATAGATTATACAGGTGTATTTGTATCAATAGATTATACAGGTGTATTTGTATCAATAGATTATACAGGTGTATTTGTATCAATAGATTATACAGGTGTATTTGTATCAATAGATTATACAGGTGTATTTGTATCAATAGATTATACAGGTGTATTTGTATCAATAGATTATACAGGTGTATTTGTATCAATAGATTATACAGGTGTATTTGTATCAATAGATTATACAGGTGTATTTGTATCAATAGATTATACAGGTGTATTTGTATCAATAGATTATACAGGTGTATTTGTATCAATAGATTATACAGGTGTATTTGTATCAATAGATTATACAGGTGTATTTGTATCAATAGATTATACAGGTGTATTTGTATCAATAGATTATACAGGTGTATTTGTATCAATAGATTATACAGGTGTATTTGTATCAATAGATTATACAGGTGTATTTGTATCAATAGATTATACAGGTGTATTTGTATCAATAGATTATACAGGTGTATTTGTATCAATAGATTATACAGGTGTATTTGTATCAATAGATTATACAGGTGTATTTGTATCAATAGATTATACAGGTGTATTTGTATCAATAGATTATACAGGTGTATTTGTATCAATAGATTATACAGGTGTATTTGTATCAATAGATTATACAGGTGTATTTGTATCAATAGATTATACAGGTGTATTTGTATCAATAGATTATACAGGTGTATTTGTATCAATAGATTATACAGGTGTATTTGTATCAATAGATTATACAGGTGTATTTGTATCAATAGATTATACAGGTGTATTTGTATCAATAGATTATACAGGTGTATTTGTATCAATAGATTATACAGGTGTATTTGTATCAATAGATTATACAGGTGTATTTGTATCAATAGATTATACAGGTGTATTTGTATCAATAGATTATACAGGTGTATTTGTATCAATAGATTATACAGGTGTATTTGTATCAATAGATTATACAGGTGTATTTGTATCAATAGATTATACAGGTGTATTTGTATCAATAGATTATACAGGTGTATTTATATCAATAGATTATACAGGTGTATTTGTATCAATAGATTGACTGTCAACAGGCTCAAACATGCTCGTTTAAATATTAAGATAGATTGTGATTCTATATTTTGGTTGAGGTGGAGATACATACATCAATAATAACATGCCTAAGAGAAGTGTCCAACAGTAAGATTTGTTTTTATCGTTGGTTATTCCTAAATAGCCATATCAACTTATGCTATTTGGCGAATGACAATATTTCCATTTCAGACGTAAACAATTCTACATCTCCCTCGTGTTGGCCGAACCATAACAAGAAATTAGGTAGAGGTATCAAATAATGCTACAGTGTTGATAGTAATACTTATAATGCCTTGCAATTAACCAGTTTTGAAGTAGGGTGTCGCTCCTTTGTAATCCTCAAAGCACAGGTATCAGCTTAGCGATTGGTCAGTTTTCTGTACTTGAAACCAATCAAATCACTAACTTCCTGTCTTCAAATATTTTTTTTGATGTTTTGTATGCTCATATGTGTGTCGTGTGTTTTGTCATCACAATCTGAGTTCTCGATATGAGGACGTGACTTCATTTGGATTTGTCATGGATTTTAATAGCGGATGTTGTCGATGAAACAGTATCAATTATATATATATTTGAAAGAAAAAATCTTTGGATCAAGAAAAGCGACATATAACAAAATAATATTACTGAGAAAAAGTAGTATGGACCAATACATATCCATTTTGAATGACTGCAAACACACCGAAGCAAGACGATTGTCGCTCAGTGAGTCTAAGAAACATCTGTTTAATCTATATACAACAAACCATGAAGTATACAATTAAGCCAAATGTTACACAGATAACGATATTTAGGGCAGATATCAACATGTGACGCCCAAACCTATCTACCACGGTCAGTAATTACCAAGATCTGTAGGAAGGGCAGACTACCTTCCTGTTAAACCCCGACTTACATACTGATAGCAGGCAGGTCAACACTCATCAATGTATTATAAGTAGATCTATCATTCAGTGAAACATTGACGTCCCGGGTGTCTGTACTCAGTACACCTTCACTGCTGGGCGTACCTGTCTCCCACACCTTCACTGATGGGCGTACCTGTCTCCCACACCTTCACTGATGGGCGTACCTGTCTCCCACACCTTCACTGATGGGCGTACCTATCTCCCAACCTGCATATTCTGTGTCAAGATGAGCGCAACAGGCCATGTTGGTTTGACTATATATGTTAATAATGTATACACAAATTACAAAGTGTCTACTTACCCAATAGTAATCCATCAACATCAAATATGACGTGTGTGACGGACACAGTCATAGCTACCAGGAATGTTACAACGTCAGTCAGAATGGAGTTACTCCCCTTTAATGTGCTGTACATACGTTGATAAAGTGATTGTCTGCTGTTAAATAGAGGTGATTCGTATGGGTTAGAATACCAGATACAATTTCTAAATGGCAAAAGTAGAGTGGAGGGAGCATAAAAAGTTGTTTATAAAAGGAAAGTCCGGAACACGAGAAAACATTATAAATAGAATAATGAAATAACTTATGTTTTTAAGTTGTTGTTGTTGTTATTTATAGGCCTATGGCATTTCTGGTCGATGTTACGTTTTGTATTATCGCCATTCGGATGTTTGCTCGCTTAGCTTAGTACATTGCCATCAATTTATGAAGGGAATTAGCACCGTGAAGTATGCATGAAACAAAGGGACTTTTACAAGTCTACAGTTTCTTTGAATGATTTAACAGCTAAAATAATCTGATACACATATCACAACACGTCTAACGATTGATGGGCAGTAGTATTTAGCTGTTTCCAGAGTTTTAAAGTATTTCAGGATACGTCAATCGCTGTTCTGTTCTGCCTACTCTTTGCATTTTTCTATAAGCTAACATAATGGCTCTCTTAAGTAAAACAAACACAGAAAAAATGTTGTTACATGTTACTTTCTTAGAGTAATCTTATTGAAATAATTTAATTTTTGAAATATTTAAAATATATATATAAAATAAGAAAAAACAATATTCTATACATCAGTTGCACAACAGCGACACTCCAGCTCACATGGCTTGCTGAATCCTGACTGGATAGCTGACAATGTTTATAAACTTCTCAGTATCAACACCCGATATGGACATGTGAAGAAGACAGGAACAGAAGAATATTAGATATTGCATCACAAATTTGTCTTTGGAGACTGGAATTGAGGGAAAACCCATCAGAGCAACACTGAGTTGCTATTCGGCGGGACTAATAGGGTAAAATGGAGGTAATGTTTTCATCACCTCCTCCGTATAGGGAGGGGCCCCGTCTCTAAAAATATTGAATCATTTAGAAAAAAAGTTTAACTCTAATAATTTTGATCACTTAGATGTACGCTCAAAACTAGGGGGAGATAAGCTAGTAGTAAAATGCAGTTGAGAAATTCATATTTTTTTTAGGGGCTGGTAGCCAGTCTATCTCCCGTAAACAGGGTCGGATTAGAACAGAGTTTTCTCTGGAGCTTCCTTTGGCCAATCAAAGTATGATTTGGGGATGTAGTCCGTGTGGTAAAGAGTCGTAGAGCCAAATACTGATGGTAGATGGCATGTCGTTTAAAGTCCTTTTCCTTATTTACAGAAGTGGTATTTTTGGCTGAAAATGGAAACGTTTTTGTTTTCTTTTCTAAATTTAAACTAATACCCCATTAATTGCTCCAATGCAAGCCCATAATATCGAACCATTTAATACTGTCACTAAGACATCAACTGATTTACACACATTTGTAGAATAGCTTGAAAGCACAACAGTATCACTATATCCTCCACATTGTTACTAAATCGTACCTAACCATGTGATATTATGTATTACCTATACATACAGACGGGTTGCTCGACTTTAATTTCAATTCTAATGGCTTCCTCTGAATAACCAAAATTGACAATGCCTTGATATTAGGCCAGTAACGTGTTGAGATAAGAGGCAAAAGACTTTGTACAAGAATGGCTTTGGCAGATCACAGGGTCAAATAAGTTAAAACAGTTCAACGATTTTTAATAACTTAAGAGTCCTAGAGTCTGCATAGATTAACGCGACACACATGTGATGCACCTTTAAAGGCCCGGTCACACCGCCCGAGCTTTGTTGGAGCGTTCCTTGAACGGTAGGGAGAGGGAACCCTCGTCACCGCGCACAAAATGGGGAAAAAATCGAAAACACGGGCGTTGCCTTAACGGGGGCCAACTTCTGGTGAACGGTAACGAGCGGTAACGAGCGGTGATGAAATTTTTTCACCGCTCCAGGAACGCTCCAGCAAAGTTCTTGCGGTGTGACCGGGGTAATAACACTGCTGTCTCGTCGGTGATGCTAAGGACCAAAACGATGGAAATCGAATTAGTCTAAACTACTGTTCAAGTTCTGCGACTTATCAGTCTAAACATATATTAAACAGGATATTTACATATGTACAAAAAGCCACATTGGTCACAGGAGAATGAACAATACACACATACAAACTGTCATATATCTGATCGGCGCTTATTTGCCGCTATCAGATACTTTCCAAGATTACATAATTCTTTAATATTCTGTGTATTAAGTTATTGAATAAGCTTATATACACTAGGGTTATTTCTGTAGAAACAGTGACGGGTACGTAAATTTAGAGGAGCACCGATTACATTCACATTATATCATAAGAACGCGTGTATGATGTGAACCGTGTCATACTCGAATTAGACAACTGTTACCACCAAGGTGACAGACAAAGCTCGGAGACTAAAACTCGCCATCAGATCAACGTAACCCACACAGGTGATGCCTGGCCAGTAACATACTGAGAATAAGTAATTAAATGCTATGACCCACTTGTAAGGCAACAAGGGTCAGTCTATGGAGATATTTAAAGACTCTTTCTGAAACATCAAAATGCCTAGAATCGTGGATTGTTTTAATTTGCTGATGCATGAGCGGCTATCAGTGTTGTTCACGTAATGACTTTATCAGAAAATATCACTGATTCGGCGTTGGTCATTTGATTCAGATAGCGGTTTTATTTGAAGTAGATTTGTTTCAAAAACAAAATAGATTTAGATTATTAAAATAAAAAAAGTGGATTCTATTTAATGGACAAATCACATTTCTCCTTTAATGTTGGTCTGGGTAGAACTATGGTGGATTTGACACGGAAGACTAGAACTTATTACCTCCATGCTAGGGGTAACGCTCACTTACACTCTCTGGTCCCCATCCTCGATAAACCAGGGGTAACGCTCACTTACACTCTCAGGTCCCCATCCTCGATACACCAGGGGTAACGCTCACTTACACTCTCTGATCCCATCCTCGATACTCCAGGGGTAACGCTCACTAACACTCTCAGGTCCCCATCCTCGATACTCCAGGGGTAACGCTCACTTACACTCTCTGCTCCCCATCCTCGATACTCCAGGGGTAACGCTCACTTACACTCTCTGCTCCCCATCCTCGATACTCCAGGGGTAACGCTCACTTACACTCTCTGCTCCCCATCCTCGATACTCCAGGGGTAACGCTCACTTACACTCTCTGCTCCCCATCCTCGATACTCCAGGGGTAACGCTCACTTACACTCTCTGCTCCCCATCCTCGATACTCCAGGGGTAACGCTCACTTACACTCTCTGCTCCCCATCCTCGATACTCCAGGGGTAACGCTCACTTACACTCTCTGCTCCCCATCCTCGATACTCCAGGGGTAACGCTCACTTACACTCTCTG